TGCCATGCTAGCTGGGATATAAACCTTGGAAAATTAATTATTTGCATGTATCTTAGAAAAACATAGATCCAAGGTTTATTAGGGTTGCATGTACACTTAGGAAGTGTTAGAATGCTCAAAACCCAACAGTTACAACCTTAGAGTATAACTCTATGATTGTTTTGGAATGAAGTATGAATCATGTTCTTGATTTAACCACTTCAACAATTCATAACTCCTCTTCTTAACTAACAGAATATACTTAGAGGATGAATTGTGATAAGGTCTCAAAATCATTAAGATGATCTTAAAACATGATACTAAAGTACTCTCCCATCTTTTCAGATTTGAGAAACCTTTATCCTTCTGCCTAATTTGATTCTTCTTATTCGTTTTGTCATACATTAAAAATTTTCCAATGCTTCAGAATTATACTTAAGCTTGTAAGTATAATCATATTTACTAAACCTTATAAAGTATAAGGGTTTAATTTTAACTTTTAAAATTCTAAGGGCTAACATGGAATTAAAGTATTCATAAGTGAAAACTTTTTCAAATTCCAAAACTTGAGGGCACGTTTTGAAACTATTCAAAACTAATTAATTCCATAACTTATGTGTTTAAAGTAGTTTTAATCCAAAAACTCTTCAAGTTCCATAACTTGAGGACAAGTTATGGAAGACTTTAAACTAATAAAAAAATTAACTTTTCTTTATTTTATAACTTATGGAATTAATTAAGGTTACACTTTTTTTTATTATTATTTAATGAAGAGACTCTTGGTTCTCCATAACCTGAGGATAAGTTATGGAATCATAAAACCATTTAATAAGGAAAGACTCTTCATTTTTTTTTGTACCCTAAGGAATTTTTTATGAGTTTTTAAGATTCATAAATGTGACTTTTCATATAATTTGAGGACAAGTTACAAAAACACATTTTATGAACAACTTTTAGATTAATTTGGATTGAAAACTATTAACACATATTTTTCATTAATCTAAAAATAACTCATAAAACAAGGTAAGACAAAAAAACTTTTGGATTCCATAACTTATGGAGTTTAATGTTTCTTTTATGATGAAACTTTTCATGTTCCATAACTTAAGAACAAGTTATGGAATTCTTTAAAACATTAAGACCAAGTTTTGTAACTCCATAAAAAACTTTGAATCAATTTTTTTTAAACCTTTTCATATCCATAACTTATGGAGGTTTTAAAAAACTCTTTAGATCAAACTTTTAAAAATAATAAAATAATCATATAATTTTATCTTTTACTAAATTTGACTTAATCCAACTCAGATAGAAAATGATTCAAATTTTACAAATAATTAGTTTTTCACAAAAACAAGTAATTATCTTAAAATTTGACAAACGTCAAGTTTTTTTTCCCTTTTTTTCAACTTTGAAAATAAAACATTTGCATTAATATAACAGAAAAGAACCCATGGCGCTGATACCATTGTTGGGTTTTGAGCATTCTAACACTCCTATGGTGTACATGCAACCTTATAAACCTTGGATCTATGTTTTCTCTATTATACATGCAAATAAGAATTTTCCAAGGCTTTAATCCTAACTAGCATATTATGAAGTTCTTATACTACAAAGTTCTAGTTAGATGACATACCTTTTGATGTAGCTTGATGTCTTCAAGCTTTAAGAGCTTAGCCCCAGTAGTGTGGAAGCCTCAAGTGGAATCGCAAATCACCAAAACACCTTGGAAGACTTTAGAGAATATGGATACTTGGTTCTCTCTAGTGAAATCGGCTAGCCCTTCTTAGTGTACCACACTAGTGCCAATTTCACCAACCAAGGACATCTTTATATAGTATGGAGACTAGGGTTAAACCCATGACCTTTCATTTCATATGATCCATGGGTTAAAGACTCCATGGACTATCCATGAAAGCTTAGCCCAACCTAAATGAACTTGGCCCATTCCATATATATAAGAGTCCATATTTAATTAGTTTATTTTGATCACTTAATTAATTATAAATTAATTCTTGATCAATACTAATTAAATAATATGATTAAATATTAATATATTAGAACTTATAATATATTAATATAAATCATAAATATACTATTCTCAAAAGACTATCCATATAAATTGTGTCGGTGAAGTGCAACCCAAATGGACCATGCTGGGTCGGGTCAAGTACATATCAAATATAGTTATGGACTTAGACATTAATCCAACAAGAACTGGTGGGGTGTCTCCACGATGAGATGAATCAGACTCAGTTGATGAGCTTGAGTGGAATTCGATGGTGGTGTTGAATGGGTATGCGACAACCCCAAGGACTATCGGAGCCTGTTCAGAGGCTAAGGTATCAGTCCGGTCACACATTTGGCTAGGGGGAGTGGTTTTCCTCTTCTTAAGAATGGCAATTGGTTGCGCATCCTCATCTTAATCACTGTAAGGTATGGTGACATCTGTTTGAGACTTACGTTTCTTGGAGGGTGCGGTTGTTTTGGGAGCATTATTCATGGGAGTTGGTGGTCACTTCTTGCAAGCTAATTTATTTCTTCTCTGAGAATGATTGGACAAAGTGGTCGAAGAACGAACTGCGGTGCCTTCAGGGATAATAACTGCGGACTGAGGAGGCGGGGTAGGAGGGTATGGGTCAATACCTCCGTAGCCTTAATATGGTTTGAGACATCAGTAGTCTCAAGACCTAGGGTTAAGAGAATGTAGGTAGGGAGTCTACATATAGGTCCGAAAGGATATTGATCAGAAGAAGGAGTGTACCTTTTAAGATCCTTGGTGACAAAGAAATTGATGTCATCTCCCATGTTGATTCTTGCATTTGAGTGAAGATATGCAATGTAGAGAGACCAGGACCTTGCGAAAGTGAGTTCGGTTGGTTTCTCTCTTAGGTTCTCCTTGGGAATGTATTCAAGGAAATCTTCCCAAAGAATCTGCCCATAATTGATGTCATGAACAGTGAATATACTCCATACTAAGTCTAGGAGCTTGAGTCCCATGCCGTAGATACCTCCGATTCTGCCGGATAGATTGCGGATGATGTAGTGGCAAACGTATTGCCAGACCGTAGGCAATTGGTCTTTCTGGAACTCACCAATGCCTTTAATCCTCTTTTGATATCCCATCTGATAGAGAACACATGTAATATCTGTCATCGATGGGGTTAAGTTATTGGTGGAGGCATGGACAAGAAGGTTAATGGCAGTAGGGAACTTCTCCTTTAACCAAATGACCAGCGAATCATCATTTAGATTGAGATGAACTTCTTGAGGATTTTAAAGTGGGCGATAAAACCCACATTTGAAGAGAGTTTAGATGGGAACAACGTCTGTGAATGCATTGAATCGACTAAACAGTGGATGATTCTTCAAGAACTTGATCATTAGCTTGATAGGAGCATTGTAGGATGAATGATCGTCGAAGACAGCTCTGAAGTTGCTTGAAGCAATTGTGGAAGAATCTGAATGGTTAGAGCTTCCTGATCCAGATGCTTTTTATTGTTTCTTCGAGACACCTGATTTCACCATTGTAGGAGCTTGAGAGACTGAGAAGAAAAAATGAATTTATGAATGCACTGAGTACTTGAAGGTTTAATGTTCAGAGAGCGTAAAATGGTTATGGGGAAGAAGAAAGGGTTATATAGGGGAGAATGGGAGTGGTAACTGGGATTTACCCTAGGTAAAACAAGTATAAGATAAAAAGTCTTTTGGGGGGAATTATTTGAATTAGGGATTAAATCTCAGCCACATAATATGAAACGGTTTCTAAAAGATATGCGAGATTTTCCAAAAGGGTTTTTCATTACATGAAAAGTCAAACGTGCCTGACTATCGTGTGGAGGGGGAGATAAAGTTGTAACGGATGGGACGTGTTGTATATGAGGAAAGGACAGGTTAAGGATGTGTTTATAAAAAAAAAAGGTTCTATTTTTCATTACACCTAAAATAGGTCTGACAAAAAGGTTTTTAGGAAAGAGAATGTGAAAGTTTCTCTAGGAATGTTTTTAATTTGTTGTTTTATTTAATGAAGGATCATTAAATAGCACACCATGATTCCTGAATTAATAACTCAGATATGTGTTTGCGGATGGATACTTCATTGTGGTTGGATTTATGAATGCAGTAGAAGAAACCGAGAAGAGAACTTGTACAAATACTTAGTAAAAACAAACAAGAATGACCAGTGAAGAATAAATATAATATATGGTTGAGTTACATAAACAAAAGTTGAATGATTCACTGTATTAAACCATACACTGATAACGACTTGAAACTCTTTGCCGATGGTTAAATCAAAATACCAAGATTTATCACACGCAACTACCCTCTTCTCACCAATCTTACACTGATTCTGTGATTCAGCGTGCCAAAAACACACACTGATGAGGGTCTAAAATCTTTGCCGATGGTTAGATCAAAATACCAAGATTTATCACACGCAACTACCTCTTCTCACCAATCTTACATTGATTCTGTGATTCAGTGTGCCAGAACACACACTGATGAGAGTTTACAAATCTTTGTCGATGTTAGACCAAAACACCACGGTCTATCACACGCAACAATCCATTCTCTACCCCCTTCTTATTCAGTGTCTAATGATTCAGTAAGATAAACCACTTACTGATGAACTCACAACAATCTGTGCCGATGGTTAGATAATGTAACTAGTATCTATCACACGCACCAATCTGCTTGCTAGCCCAGTTTATGCAAGTTGTACCTTGAATTGATGGAGAATTTCTCAGCACATAACCTTTGTGACTATGAACTCAGCGCTTCCGCAACCTCTGATTGACGCTACACCTTCAGTCAACGGCTCTTTTCTCCAACGGCTATTTTCTATTCTGACAGATTGTTACGCTGCGCCGTTATTTTTCATAAAGATAATTATTACCTTTTTCGAATAAAACACATAAAAGGAAACCCCTCTTCATTCCATACTTAACTCACTTTATCCCTTGGTTTAATTTTTCCTCCCAAAACCTTTCTCCCAAAACCCTAGATTTCTCAAATACTCTCCAATGGCGGCATCTCCGTTCACCTACTCATCAACATCTCGAAGAGTCACTCCTGCCCCAAACTCTCCTCCACTTCCAATTCACATCAAGGCCACCAATGTCGTATTCAACCCTGACATTCCAGTGGTTCATCGAGGTCTTGGACTCGATGATTTCGTCAATTTCTTGACTTCTTGCCGCCTCCGATACGCAATCAGTGACGTACCATCCGAGTTCTTCCCTGAACAAGTATGTGAGTTTTACTATACTGCAACAGTTAATGAAGAAAACAATGCCATCACCGGAACAATTGGCCATGGCAGACACTCCGTCTTTATCACTGCAGAGCTTCTCAGCGCTGCTTTACGATTACCTCTGTTCGAACCTTTTTCTGAACCCCAACTATTGAAAGATGTAAACGCATGTTTGATCAACTGGGCTATGATCATTCAAAGGCTGGTACTCGATCAGCCCTTATTTTGCGTCAGTGCATGACCGCAGGATGGAAGTTTTTCACTGGTGCCTTGTGCAAGTGTGTGGGCCACAAGTCTCGGAGTGGTGATCAATTGAGTAATTATGAGCAACAAGTCGTTTGGTCTCTTCTTCTCAACAAAAGACTGGATTATGGGGCACTATTCTTTGATCAGCTTGTTCAACTTTTACGTGCAAATGTGCGTGCTGATCATGTTCCCTTTCCTCGCTGGATTGCCCTGGTGTTCGACAAATTCTTCGCTGCTGATTATTTTTCTCACTCTGGGAATCCAATCCAATGCCCTCGCATGTCCGTTCGCATGTATCAGGATGATCCTTTGGATTCAGACATTGGGATCTCAGATAGGATGAGAGAATGGATTGCTCATCCATACACTATGCCTTCTCTCTCAGCTGATACTGATGAAGGAGGTGCTGATGGTGATCATGTGGATCATGCTGATCAAGAAGTGGATCGTTATGATGGCGGCCATTCCTCTCCTCCACCTTCTCCTCACCTTACCCCTGTCACTGGTCCTGCCTCCTTAGCTCCACAGGATCTCATGTCTCAAGGGGAGCAACCATCTCAGGGGGATCATCAGTCTCAGGGGGAGCATTCTTCTCAAGGGGAGCAACCATCTCAAGGGGATCATCAGTCTCAGGGGGAGCATTCTTCTCAAGGGATGCCTCTCTCTCCGGGGGAGCATTCATCCCCAGCAGCTCACCACTTCTCTCCAAGGATGCAATCCAGCTTTCCAGTTGCTCCAGGAACATCCATGATTCAAATTCCTGCTTCCGCATTCTCTGAACTGATGTCACTGACTCGGGACATGAGTCAGCGTCTGCTTAATATTGAGGCTGATGTTCAGCAAATCAAGGAGGTTCTTTTACTTACTCCTGCTTCTCGTCCCATATCCAATGATGTTCAAAAAAGGGGAGATACTGATGATCACGCTGATGATCATGCTGATAGCGATCAAAATGCTCATGATGATGAAGATCAAAATGAAAAAGACACAGCAACTGGTGATATCGGTACTCTTCAGCATGACTCACTCAACCCCGTTGAAGAAGCTGATCCTGCGGGACATGATAGTCCAGTAACTACTGAAAGGTTATCTGATGATAGTGAGCATAATGATGAACACAAATCTGATTCTGCGGGGCATAGTAGTCCAGCAGCCACTGAGAAATTATTTGAAGATAGTGATGATGACGAAGAGCGTGATGAACCTGATGATGAATGTCAAATTTTTGACATGAACTTTATTGATCCTCTCATTCTAGTTCAGCAAGAAAGCTTAGATGATCTTGAAGAATCTATTCCGATACTTGCCGATCCTATTGCTGATTCAATCATTCCGGTCCAAGGAGAAGATTCGGACATTGCCAGTGAAGAATCTCATCCGTTGTCTCGAAAGCGGAAAGTAGAAGATACTGACTTGGATCATTCTCAAACTGATACTTCTTCAACTGTGAAGAGACCAAAGTCCATCGTCAGTATTTCAAATCTTGCCACTGAATGGAACATGTCCCCTGATCAAGTTAAGCAAATTCTTGATGAAGTAAATCAAGCTCAGCTTCTAAAGAACATTGCTCAAGCTGATGAATCTCTCATTCAGCACGAACTTCAGGCCAAGGGATCTTTTGAAGCTCAAATGCAAAAGTTTCTTGAATTTCAGTCCAGGGCTCAGTCTTCTCAACCTCCTCCTAGTTCTAGCAAGCCCAAGACTGACAGTGTTCTTGACCGGATTGATCGAAAGAGATTTGAAGATGTTCTCAACTGGCGGATGTGTGGAGATAAGATCATCAAAGTCAAAGCTTCTAAGCCTCGAAACGAGAAAATTCTTACATTGCTGATCACTCGTCAAGGTCCTCAGCACTCTTATACTGAAGTTGTTAAGAGAGATGAGGTGATCAGGTATGGGTATTCGGAATGGATGGAACTGCTTAATCTTGCATCCAAGCAAACCTCAGCTCATTCTTCTGAACTGACTTGTGCTCTTCACTTGCTGATTAAGAAAGTTCAGCGTTTGGATCTTGTTCCTAAGGAACGATCTCAGCATCAAGGTCAAAGGTTGTCAGCTCATAAATCTCGAAGAACCAAGTTTCATGTCGATGGCGAAGATGTGTTGGTTCTAGACTTTGGTGCTGGTGCAATTAACAATTCACTTCCTCTGGGTGTTGATCCGGTTCAGCATCAATTCATCTCAGCTCCTGAGCACGGAATGTTCTATCTAGATAAAAACAGGAGGACGTGCTTTCAAAGAACCACTGAGATCCCAAAGGCTCCAATCACTCACCTTGTTGGCTTAAGGCAAATGTGCATGAGTCATCAAGATCTATCTGGAGAATTTCACATCCTTATTGCTATGGAGCTGCTGAACAGAAGACAAGAGTTGCTGGACAGTCCTTACTGGCCAGTTAAAATTGAAGCTGAAGCTGAGTATGAAGAATTTCTCTCAAGAGGTGTATTTATTTAGTTTGTTTTGAACATCATCATATTGGGGGAGATTGTAAGGTCGAACCTTGAAATATGATTATGTTTAAAATAAACTCAGCGTCAGCACGTGTATCAGCGTCAGCTCTAACATATTTCCGCTGTGTCTATATTAGCTTAGTTTACTCAATGTATATGTATTTGATGTAACAGATTCAGTATTTATCTTGTTTCCATAGTTATCATGTATAAGATAGCTGTAATATCCCTGATTTGTAGGGATTGTCTATAATTGTTCTATATAGTCTTTTGTATGGGTTTGTAAAGACGTTGTCTTTCACAAACCCTAATTGTCGCTTTGTTCACACGATAATCTCTTTGTGAGATTATCTTTCTTAGTGAAAGTTTTCTTCGTGAATATCTCTTGTTCTTACTCATTGTCTTTGTTTGATATATCGATTGATCTTAAGGTCTCTTCACTTTGGTTCTTGAAATGACACTAGTTGACACTTGTTGAGGTGAGGGCAAATTTCAAGATAGTAGTGACTATTCTCTCAAAGTTCCAAGTTTGTGGTGATTTGTGATTTCCACTTGAGGCATCCACACTATTGGTGCTAGGCTCAAAAACTCCAAGCAATCAACTACAACTTCAAGGTAAGTATTTCTTCTAGCTTTATTTGATTTATGTTCCCCATGCCATGCTAGCTGGGATATAAACCTTGGAAAATTAATTATTTGCATGTATCTTAGAAAAACATAGATCCAAGGTTTATTAGGGTTGCATGTACACTTAGGAAGTGTTAGAATGCTCAAAACCCAACAGTTACAACCTTAGAGTATAACTCTATGATTGTTTTGGAATGAAGTATGAATCATGTTCTTGATTTAACCACTTCAACAATTCATAACTCCTCTTCTTAACTAACAGAATATACTTAGAGGATGAATTGTGATAAGGTCTCAAAATCATTAAGATGATCTTAAAACATGATACTAAAGTACTCTCCCATCTTTTCAGATTTGAGAAACCTTTATCCTTCTGCCTAATTTGATTCTTCTTATTCGTTTTGTCATACATTAAAAATTTTCCAATGCTTCAGAATTATACTTAAGCTTGTAAGTATAATCATATTTACTAAACCTTAGTAAATCATGATGAATAGTCTTATCCATCTTTTGTGGTGGACTTGACCAGTGCACCAGAATGTGTACTCGATCGCTTAGTCCTTCACTTGACTCACACATCCATGTGAACAAGTAATTAGTCTTAATTTTTTCAATACTTGAAAGTTCTCATTCATCATGCTATACAACTTGCATGATTCCAAGTTCCGGTCCACTTGAAACTTGGGTGATGAGAATCTTTCCTTATTTGGTAAATTTATACATTACAATAAATGAGAGAATCAAATTCATATTTCCAATATTGCTATCAATGGAATCATATAAGAAACTTCTTTTCCTTTTTCTACAAAATGCCATTGTAAGGATATTTTTTTAAAATAAACAATAATAAAAACTTTTCTTTTATTTTAAAACTTTGCGGAAAAACTAATCCTTACGATGCAAATGTATATGAAAACTTGTTGTTATCTATTCCTAAGCAATCTATCATAACTCTCAAGCATGTGCTCAAAATTCTGATCACCGAACAACACGATTGAAATCCATCTTCGCGATCAGAATCAGCATATACTTCGTTTAAGTTTCTTTACTTTTCTTTGACTCTTAAAACATCAACATGTGACCCAGCCACATCGTATAATAAGAATCTCCAAGTAGGAACTTAATAGAGTTAGACAGTGGACTTTACCTAAAATAAAGTCAAACTTATTGACTTTATCATCCTTAGGTAAGTCTGGCAGCTTCATAACCAAAGCCCCTTCCTTTGGCAATAGAAATATATGGACCCTTAGGTAATAGTACATGGGACTATCTTAGACTTAGCCTTTCTCTTTACCATTTGGTCAACCAAGTTGACTATGGCCAATCCCTTAGCATTGGGAAGAGAATGCATTTCTGGATTTCCTGTGTCAGTATTGTCGTTGTCCATAAAGTTTTGGGAAGTTGATCTCCTAATCAAATTTGCTTTACTAGTACACTAAATCATTTCTAATTTAGCAGCACCAAGCAAATAGATAAGATCATTAAGGATCTTTTCATAGTCTATTTCATAGCTATCCGAAAGGAACTCACTATGTGACTTAGAAAGTGATTGAGCCACCAACTTTCTCAAGACTTTGACACCCAACTCTCCCAACTTGTCAATATGTGACTACAACTCCAAGATGTGATCACACATAGACCTTGCCTTGCCAATAAGGCTTGAGTGACCTTGAACTTGTGGGTTAGGGATAATAATTGGAGGAGGTGGAGGAAGTGAAGTTCCAAGATATTTGGGAAGATCATAGATGTCTGAACTTGACATCTCTTGGGAGATATTCAAGATAGTTGATTTAAGGTCCTTAATATAACACCTAATATGAAATATTAAGGCTAGGACCCAACAAACTATTTTATAACTTGGAAGAGGGATGCCGTAATCCAAGCTATAGAATATTTGAAGGTAGGTGAATGACGATTCACCAATTTCCATCATGAAAAATGAAATAATTAATTAGGTTTTAATTGGATTTGAAATTCCTAGATCTTTGAGATTCACTGAACTGCTCAATGGAATGTTTCAATCTCGAGTGTGCCCTTCAGGTTTTGTGACTTGGATGCTGAGGATCACAAAACAAGGTGTGAAGTAACCATGCAAATTACTTGGTACCCTTAAGTGTTTACCCCTCAACCGATGTGCCGGTTAACCACACACGCTCCATCGCTACTATGATAAACATTAAGTTACCCTTTGTCAACCTTGTTAAATATGAGTTAGTTTGCCAGTTAACCACACACGCTCCACTAACCGACTTAAACAAAGTGCAAAGTGTAATTTCATGGATTTGCACCTTATTCACATTTTCCTAAGTAACTAAGATTGGGTATTATTAAGAGTTTAGTTACTTAGTATTTATAATTAATACTTTTAATGATGGGAGAATTATAGTCCTGTCAAACCCGTTCGGCTAACGACCCTCCACCAGTCAAGGAAGCAGTAGGTGAGAGTGGACACCCATTAAACTGTCATTTTATAAGCAGTAACCTTATACCCCCCTTATAGACTGACTTCGTGAATGAGGCCTACTTACGGTAAGACTAACTTTACTCTTATACATATATATATATATATATATATATATATATATATATATATATATATATATATATATATATATATATATATATTATTAACTTATAATATTATAAAGTATAAGGGTTTAATTTTAACTTTTAAAATTCTAAGGGCTAACATGGAATTAAAGTATTCATAAGTGAAAACTTTTTCAAATTCCAAAACTTGAGGGCACGTTTTGAAACTATTCAAAACTAATTAATTCCATAACTTATGTGTTTAAAGTAGTTTTAATCCAAAAACTCTTCAAGTTCCATAACTTGAGGACAAGTTATGGAAGACTTTAAACTAATAAAAAAATTAACTTTTCTTTATTTTATAACTTATGGAATTAATTAAGGTTACACTTTTTTTTATTATTATTTAATGAAGAGACTCTTGGTTCTCCATAACCTGAGGATAAGTTATGGAATCATAAAACCATTTAATAAGGAAAGACTCTTCATTTTTTTTTGTACCCTAAGGAATTTTTTATGAGTTTTTAAGATTCATAAATGTGACTTTTCATATAATTTGAGGACAAGTTACAAAAACACATTTTATGAACAACTTTTAGATTAATTTGGATTGAAAACTATTAACACATATTTTTCATTAATCTAAAAATAACTCATAAAACAAGGTAAGACAAAAAAACTTTTGGATTCCATAACTTATGGAGTTTAATGTTTCTTTTATGATGAAACTTTTCATGTTCCATAACTTAAGAACAAGTTATGGAATTCTTTAAAACATTAAGACCAAGTTTTGTAACTCCATAAAAAACTTTGAATCAATTTTTTTTAAACCTTTTCATATCCATAACTTATGGAGGTTTTAAAAAACTCTTTAGATCAAACTTTTAAAAATAATAAAATAATCATATAATTTTATCTTTTACTAAATTTGACTTAATCCAACTCAGATAGAAAATGATTCAAATTTTACAAATAATTAGTTTTTCACAAAAACAAGTAATTATCTTAAAATTTGACAAACGTCAAGTTTTTTTTCCCTTTTTTTCAACTTTGAAAATAAAACATTTGCATTAATATAA